CTCTTTAGAATATGGTTCTGAACTTTAGGGGATCTTAAAGTTGAGAAGTATATTATTTTGATTTTTGAAGTATTTTGCTACATCTTGTCTCCATTCATCTCTATTCATCATAAGGTTTTTTTTATTACTAAATCTTGACAAGTTGCTTAAAATCAAATAACTTTTGTAACTTCAGTTTGCATGTTTCTATGATACCTATACATTTTCTCTCTAAAAACAATGAGTAACTATTTACATGATGATATTACTCTTTATCGATGAAAAGATACACTGCATAATACCTATACATTTTATCCCTAAAAACAATATGAGTAATTATTTAGATGATGAGGGTTATTCTCTATCGAGGTAATATAAAATTATCTTGAAACCTTGGCTACCCATTTTAGATATTCATGAATTTATGAAGAATATTTTTCTGATTTTTGAAATACTTTTCTACAACTTGTGTTTGTGCTTGAGGACTTTTTCTTCTATTACTAATATTTGTTACTTATTGTAAGTTGCTTAAAATTAGAAAATTTTTAGAAATTCAAGTGACATAACTTGTATGATATAATATATGTTTTATCTACAAAAATTATATGTTATGTAACTATTTACATGATGAGAATTACTCTTTATCAAAGTAAAGGTAAATTATCTATATACCATTACTTTCTATTTTAAATATTGATTTTTATCGAGTCTTTAAAATATTGTTTTAAATGTTAGGATTCTTGAGGAGAGTATTATTATGATTTTTAATTAATTTTACTACATCTTGTCTATATTCATCATGAGCTTTTTCTTATGTTATTACTACCCGACAAGTTGCTTAAAACTAAATAAATTTTGTAACTTCTGCTTGCATGTTTTCTACGATACCTATGCATTTTTCCCCCTAAAACAATGAGTAACTATTTACATGATGAGGTTACTATTTATCGATGAAAAGGTATATGATACATATACATTTGATTAATAAAAGTAATGAGTAACTATTAAAATGATGAGGGTTACTTTTTTTCGATGTAAATGTAAATTATTTAGATATCTTTTTTCTCTCATTTTAGATATAGAATCATGTCGAGCCCTTGAAATATAGTTTTTACTATTAGGACTCATGAAATTAAGGAGAATATTTATGCTATTTTTGAAGCATTTTGCTATAGCTTGTCTCTGTGCTCATTATCTTTTGCTTCTGTTACTATTATTCGTTATTTCTTGCACGTTGCTTAAAAATGAATTAATACTTACAATTTCAGCTAAAATTAAACATATAGAACCGATATTTTAATCTACAAAATAATATGATTTGCAATTATTTAGATGATGTAAGTTACTCGTTATCAAAGTAAAGGTAAATTGTCTATATTTCCTTACAGTCCATTTTAGACATAGAATCAAGTTAAATCTTTCATTTCTAATCTAACAGCTCAACTTTCTGGTAAATCTTTTCCTTCATATAGATCTCTTTCTTTCACTCTTAGTGTGTATTATGTTTACCACCATTCGTATTCTAATCATCTATGTGAATTTTTGCTACCATCTCTGTTTAGGAACCAACCTAACAGAAACAAAACCCCCATAGAGCCACCTCTTATGGTGGCAGCAAGCATTCCCTCCGAGTAGTCAATTTAGATTCCTTTCATTTGCTGATATCTGGTTTTAAATCATGTTTCTATAATATTATACATAACTTGATTTCTTTTTTTAGCCAGGAAATGATTCGTTAAAATGATACCAGTCATCGAGTTGCATTTTAATGTTATCATGTCAATAGTGATTCCGCATTTGGACAATATCAAAATATGGTGAGTCGTTTCTTGGATCCTTAATTTCCTTATTTACGCCCATCTTTTTTCATGTTCTTTTGCAATGACATAGGTAAATTATCTAGATAACTTGACTATCTATTTTAGATATAGATTGATGCGGAGTCTGTGGAACATACTTCTGATTTTTAAAACATTTTTCTGCATCTTGTCTCCATGCATCATGAGCCTTTTCTTCAATTACTAATACCAGGTAAGTTGCTTAATTTTTTTTAAAAAAACTTGTATAACTTAATCTTTCATGCTTTCTATGATACCTATACATTTTTTGTCCCGAAACAATATGAGTAATTATTTACATGATGACGGTTATTGTTTATCGAAGAAAAGGTAAACTGTATGATACCTATACATTTTATCGGCAAAAGCAATGAGTAAATATTTACATGATTAGGGTTACCCTTTTTCGCTATAAAGGTAAATTATCTAAATAAACAATTTATTTTTATATATAGATTCATGTTGAGTATTGGAACACATTCTTCAGTATTTTTAGATAAACAATTTATTTTTTGCTTCCATTACTAATATTTATTACTTCTTGCAAGTTGCTTAAAAATGAATTAATATTTGTAACTTCAACTCAAATGAGTTAATATTTGCTAGTAACCATTTACATGATAAGGGTTACTTTATATCAAAGTAAAGGTAAATTATCTTAAATTTCCTTACAATCCATTTTAGACATAGTTCATGTTATGTCTTTGAAACATGGGTTTTAACATTATGGGCTCTTGAAATTGAGTAGAATGTTATTATGATTTTTAAAACAATTTGTTACAGCTTGTCTCCATGCTTCATGAGTAATTCCTCTTACTAATATTTGACAAGTTGTTTATAAATCAAATAAGTTTATTCAACTTATGTTTGTATACCTTCCATGAAACCTATATGATAAGTAACTTTTATTTGATGAGGGTTACTCTGTTTTGAAGTAAAGGAAAACTGTCCGAGTATGTTTTTTCTGCAAAATCAATATGCATTATGAGTTTTTCTTCTATTATTAATAATCGACAAGACATTTAAAATCGAATAACTTTTGTAACTTCAGATCATATGCTTTCTACTATACCTATATTTTTCCTACAAAAAAAAGATTAACTATTTACATATGATAGTTGCTCTTTAACAAGATAAATGTAAACTATATGATACTTGTATATTTTATCGGTAAAAATAACAGTAGTAACTATTTACATGATGAAGCTTACTCTTTTTCGAGGTAAAGTTTAATTATCTAGATATCTTGACTACTTATTTTAGATATAGATTCATATTGAGTTTATGAAACATGGCTATTAAAATTAAGGAGAATACTTTTGTGAATTTTGAAGCATTTTACTACAACTTGTCTGTGTGCTCATCAACTTCTGCTTTTTTTATTGTTGCATGTTGCTTAATATTTGCAACTTCATCACAAATGATTCGTATGATACCAATATTTTAATATACAAAAAAATAATAAATTAATAAATATTTACATTATGAGGATTATTCCTTATCAAAGATAAAGTATCAAGATTTCCTTACAATCCATTATGAGGGTTATTCTGAACTTCTATATGGTTCTCATTCCCAAAAGAGGATGCGAACATCTTACATCTGTTCAGCCCTCTGATAATATTGTCGTTGTGCAGGAAGCCGTCGACACAACTTCAAACTTACAAGGAAAGGCGCCGTGATAATGAAGATTGACCTACAATAAGCCTAAACTGGCAATTCCTAAAGGAGACTTTAATAGATTTCAATTTGCCTGAGAAGATGATTGTCTAATTATGTTCTGCATCAAAAATAGTACCATTGAACCATTGTGGAACGGAGAGAGAACAAAGAGCTTCAAACCGGAACAAAGACTCAGACAAGGAGATCCATTCTCATTATAGAACGTTTATCACATATAATATTAGAAAAAATAGAGAGGAAACAATGGAAACCTATTAAATTGTCTAGAGGGGTACTATTATTAGTCATCTATTTTTCAGAGACGACTTACTTTTATTCTTTGAAGCTATAAGGGATCAAATCGTTGAAGTAAAGAATTGCTTAAAGACTTTCAGCAAAGTATCGGGGCTTGAAATAAATCTTCAAAAGTTAAAAATGTTTATATCAACAAACGTAAACAACGAGAATGCTGATCAGGTGAGTCAACTCAGTGGAATTACAAGAACTGGAAATTTGGGGGTGAATCCTGGAGTTCTGATTCTGCATAAGAGGAGAATCACTAGCACTTATGCGCCTCTTGTAGAAAAAGTTGTGAGAAAAATGGTTGGGTGGAAGGGTAAAGTTATATCGATGGCGGGCTGTAAAATTCTTATCCAAGCCGTGACTGCTGTTATCCTTGTGCATACAATGCAAACCAACATCCTTCCAACGTTAACGTGCAACAAACTGGCCAAATTAAATCGAAATTTCTTATGGAGTAGGAGCATAGATTACGAGCACAATCACTTAGTGAATGGGATATCGTGTGTAGAACGAAGAATGCAGGAGGAAGGAAAATTTTTAATTTCAAACCTAGTGAGAGAAGCTCCCACTTCTCTCTTGGTTCAAGGTGATTTTGTTATCATCCATCTTTTCAGCATATCTTTACCACTGCATTATGTTTAACATGAACTTCATCGCCGTCTGCCGACGTTAATCATCGTCGTTCGTCGTCTGTCATCCGCCGCCACACTTCATCATCCGTTCGCCGCTAATTTTCCTTAAGGAATATCGTCTCCTCACTTTGATTCCATTTTCGAGATTAGAATTACGAGAAAGTCTTTCAATCGGCGCATATATAAATGTTGTTTTTCACCGATTTACATCACCGACCGTCGTCCGTGATCGACACTGTCATACCACCGTGCTCGCCGTACACTCGTGAACAAAACCCATCTATCCTAGTGTCCAGACTTGTTGTCGTTCTCCCTGAATCTGCCTTTGACCGCTTCGACGAAACCAGAACCCGCCATTGTTCCGCAATGTTGCAATCTCCCGATCTAATCCATCTCTGAGGGTTTCGATGAAGGACAACTCCACAGTTCTAACTTATCTCAAGCTCAAGATCTACCTCTCAGACTCTCTTCATTACCTCCACCCTTCTCTTCTTCTCCGGCAGTCACAACATTCACCACTGTCGGGCGCACGGCCAGGAAATATCGTCATGTCACTGAAAGTTTAATTTAAATAGTCATTTCTCACATGCCGGGTGCTAGAATCCACCCTTATCACCAGCAGAGACCTCCGGTACAAGCTCCTCCGCCCTCTGCAGTCGCGTCTTCTCTGCCATCTCACCCTTCTCATCATGACGTGGTTCATACTATCTTCATTGCGGGTCTTCCTGAAGATGTCAAAGAAAGAGAACTACAAAATTTACTGAGATGGCTTCCAGGTTTTGAAGCTTCGCAAGTGAGCTACAAGGGATAAAAGCCTTTGGGTTTCGCTCTCTCCTCAAATGCAAAATTTGCAGTTGCTGCCAAGGATGCCCTTCATGAAATGGTTTCTGATGTCAAGTTGAAGTCCCTTTTGCACATTGAGATGGTAAAGAATAATCTAGTTGTTAAAAGTGGAATACTTACAGATTATGATGCATTTGACATGCATGGATGTTATCCTGTTCCTCCAGTACTGCCAATGCCAAATCCAACTCCTGTAGCACCTCAAAGTATTTATGTGCCTGTTAAAACTGGGTGTTATTATGAAAAGTCTGTCGCGGATATTGTCCACGATGGAACCAAGGAGTCCACCACAAAGGGGTACAGTAATGACAAGTCTGGATGCTATATGTTATTTATTGAAAATCTACTAGAGGAGATCCATTGAAAGAGGGTTGGATATTTATTTTGCACCCACGGTTGGTAATTGATGCTTTTATTCCAAATAAAAGAAATTCCAAAGGAGTTCCCTTTGGTTTCATTCGCTTCGCAACAATCGAAGAAGCAAGGAAAGCGATCTCAAAAATTAATTGTTCTCATATTGACGGCAGCAAAATTGGTGTTTCTTTTGCTAAATTCAAACCTCGACATTCCTATTAGAGAAAGTCCTCGACAGTTGTTCACCGCAAGTCTGGGATGGAAGTTGTTTCGAGGAATAATCACAGTGAAGTTGAAGGAGTAGTGGACGACGATAAACTTCTCGAACTGAGTAAATGTCTAGTGGGGTAGTGTAAGAACTTTATCAAAATCAGTAATCTTGCTAATCAAATGCAAGCCAAGGGCCTCACTGGTTTCTCTATAATGAGAGTTGCGGGAAATATAGTTCTAATGGTTTTAGAAGACTCTGATTCGTTGAGAAGTGTGAAGAATGATAAATCAGAGACACTCGTAAAGTGGTTCTCTAGAGTCGAAGCTTGGTCTGAGAGTTTGGTAGTGGAGCGTCATCGAGTGTGGTTTGTTTGCGAGAGTGTTCTTTTTCACGCTTGGAATTGAGACACTTTCAAAAACATTGCAGATAAGTGGGGTTATTTATTAGCAATCGACGAAAGCTGTCAGTCACCATTATTTTTTGATCGGGCAAAAATTCAAGTCCTCACAAAGGTTCATGTGAGAATTAATGAGACATTGAAATTGAAGGCCGGTGACAACTCCTTCAAAATCATGGTGCATGAGATTGAGCCTTCATTCAAACCAAACTCTTGGGTCCCTGACGAAGTCAATTCTCATTAGATCTCGTCTCTTCAATTGTGGCTTTGATTTAGTTTAAATGGTTGCAGGTGTTGGTTTTCTTTTGTGTTATGTTATTTTGAGTTGTTTTTATCCTATTACTGGAGGTGTAACTTAGAAATAGGGTATTTGTCGATTGTGGTTTTTGGTTGAGGATGTGAGAGTTTAAGGTGTTTGTTGTAATGGTGTATATCACTATAGGAGGATTTTACGTGTCTTCTTATGTATTGGGTATTATTATTAATAAACTATGAGGTATTCTTTTCTTCCTTCCAATGTTCGTTAACATACTTCTCAGTGTGTGGACGAATACGAAGGGAGTTTTTAATGAGACCTCCAACTTCTATAAAAAAAGAATGCAGAAGGAATTGGTTTAGGAAAAACGAAGGATATGAATCTTGCACTAATGGCAAAAACGGTTAGAAAATGCTTGAGGGGAAAGAAGCCCTTTGGTACAAAACTTTTAGAAAAAAATACTTGAAATGTACGATGTTTATGGAAGCAAGTTAACAAAGTTAACTGTTCTTCAACTTGGAGAGGAATTATCAGTACAAAGGAATTTATAAAAAAAAAGGCTAAAAACACCAAATTAGATCAGGAGAAAACACAAAGTTTTGGTCTGATTGGTGGGTGGATGACACTTCTTTGAGTGCTAAATGTCCTGGCAGAGATAGATACATTGAAAGTAAAGTAGCTAAGTTCATCAATGGGGATCGAAACTGGAAGTTACAAGAGCTTAAGAGTATGATTTCAGAAGACACAATCAACCAAATTAGGAGTATACCCCTATCCAGAAATAAAACTGAACATGAAGAGGACATAATCTTTTGGGGATTTGCTAAAGATGGGAGATTCTCAGTGAAATCTGCTTTCAAAGCAATCACGAGATCAAATCTCTCAAACCAAGAGGTTCAAAATCTAGATTGGATTCGGAGAGTAAACACAATTGAAAGAATTAGAGTTTTTATATGACTCAATATACTGAACAAACTAAATACGAACGGGGTTCGTCTAAAGAAGAAGATGACCCAGGATGATAAGTGTAAGATCTCTCAGGGAGAAATTAAAACGACCCAACACATTTTAAGAAGTTGCAGGGTTGCAAGGGAGTTGTGGAATGAGAATGAAGCGAAAATTCACGATGATAGTTTTACATCCAGAGAGTTTGAGGATCGGTTAAAGTAGAATTGTCAATATGGGAAAATAAATAGAGAAGGAATAAATTGGGGAACACAGTTTACTACAATCATATGGGGAATTTGGAAAGAAAGAAATGAATCAGTATTCAAAGGTAGTAATCCCAATGCAAATCAAATTCTTCAATATATCAACAAACTCGCCACAGACATAAATCAAGCAATAAATTAGCATAAATTGAAAAATTACCTGCAACCAAATGGGTTAAGTGGAGAAGACCACCGAGAGGATTCCAAATACCGATGGGGCATGTAAAACAAATATAGGCATGGCAGCAGCGGGTGGGCTGATAAGGGATAAAAATGGAAAATGGATTCACGGTTTCATGGTTAACAAAGGCAGAACAACGAGCGCCATGGCAGAAATTTGGGGAAGAAATGATTCTTGTGAAATCGCTGGGAGCGAGAAATTTGATTATTGAGGCGTACGCAAAATGGGTCATCGAATCTCTGCAAAAAGAAGGATCGGAAGACATACGAAAAGAAATTATCATTAGAGACTGTAAAATCATAATAAAAGAAAGATGGGTTTCGGAAGTTAGAAACACCTAGAAGGAAGGTAATCGTTGCGCCGATCGAATAGAAAACCTTGTGTTCAGGAGACATCCACGAGATAGAATTCTTAAGATGGTAGACAACAAAACGTAGTCGTTTTGTCTTTTGTACCAAAAAAATAATGACATGATATATGAATTTGATTATTTTTTAAAAAAAAAGTTTAAAATCTATTTAATTGTTAAAAATTAAAATATTATATATATATATATATTAAATTAAAAAAATTTAAAATATTTAAATAATTAAAAGTAATAATTTTTAAAAATTATTATATTTTTTGAAATACTAAAATTTATTAAAAGAGTATACAATAAATTAGTAATTTAATGTTTTCAATTCATATTCTCCTTAAAAATCTTGTATCAACTACCGTTTAACTTACCTATTATTTTTGTTAACTATATAATAATTATTTAACTTGATGTAACGATCAAGTGTTTTTTTACCATTATGTCTGAGGTTCAATTATCCCCAAAACTATCTTTGTTTTCCTTATTTTCCACCAATAAGATGATGATATGTGTAATCATTTTATTGGAAGACTAAACAAATTAGATTGTATAAAATTAAAATGAGGACTATATTGAAATAATTTTTAAATATTAAGGGTTAAATTTATCAAATTATATTTGAATTAAGAATAACTAACAAAATATATAAGTTTAGGGTACCAAAAGTATCATTATACCAAGTTAAGTTATTATCTTTATAACTTTTGTAACGATAGATGATCAAAATAAAATATAAATATATCAATAATAACCAAACTACCGAATAATAATTTTATGACTAAAGTAAAATCACAATTATAATTAAATGACAAAATATCTTATTTACCTTAAAATAATTACAAAATGAAAAGACTTATTTTAGAAGTAAGTTCTTAAAATATATTATTTTTTATTTCAATATTTAAAATAATTTTTCTCAACATAAAGATTTAAAATATATTTATTTTAAGGAAATTTACGCGTTTAGTATATAAAGTTTCACTTTTAGTACATTTTAGTATCTTAACTTTTAATTTTTACAAAATCATATTTAACGTTTATTTTTTTATTTTATTTTAGTATCCGCAATTAAAAATTTAACAATAAAAATGATAATATGATAATGAGACGTGTTATCACTCGAATAAAATTACCCAACAATTGTGCTTAGTAGAGGAATTGACCCCACGCTTTTCTGGAGAAGAATAAAAGACTTCGACCACTGGACTAAGCAAGGTAATTGTTAGCTTATCACCACAAAATATATTAATTTATACTCCATTACCACTATCAACCACCACCGTCACCGACAACTGTTGTTTCAAATCATATCAGCTACCCAGATGGTGATTCCAAACACCTATGAGTTTGTTGCAGCAAAGATACGTGAAATGGGGATGGACTATCATTTGTCTAGAGATTTGCCCAAGGCGATTTCTGACAACATTGAGCAATGCTAGCTCCAAATGTTCACTCCGTTCGACGTTGGGACTAGAACAAGTTGTTTTACACCGTCCACCCCGACGACCTCGCTGTGCTTAGGGGAATAGAAGAGAAACTGGGGCTGACGAGTGATAAACTCAGAACAAGTCGGCATGTGCTGAGTGAATATGGAAATATGGGGAGTTCGAGTGTGTTGTTTGTTCTAGATGAGTTGAGGAGGAAATCAATGGATGAAGGGAAATCCACCACCGATGACGGAGGAGAGTTGGGTGTTCTCTTAGGGTTTGAATCGGGTCTCACGGTGGAGATGGTGGGACTTCGGAGCTTTGCTTTGAATTCAGCTGATTAAGAAAACTTGACATGGGTTTGGATTCAAAGTGTCGATTATCAAAATACTTGGTGCTTAGAATAAATCTAATGTGGATTGTCAAATTGTTCGAGTCTTTATCAGTTGAAACGATGCAGCAATCAACAACCATAGCCAGTGATTCTTTTTTATTTTTTGAACATCTCTCTATTGTCTTTAGAACCACTTCAAAGAAGAAGACACCAACTGTTGATTATGTTTAAGGAGGGAAAAGGAAAGAGCAAAAAGCCCAGAAATTTAATTTTATATTTTATAAAATATCAATTCAAATAGAGAAAATAACCTCAGTGACCAAATATGCCTTATAATATACGATTTTAACCAATTTTTTTGGATTTGCCAAAATGACCAACTAAATCGCAATGCGATCGATAATTCACAACGAGATCTTCGGTATCGCAAATCAGTTTCCAGATTCGCAACGCGATTCTGACTATCGCATTGCGATTTTCTAAATTCGCGTTGCGATTTTCCTAATTTGCAATGCGAATACGTAAATCGCAATGCGAATACGTAAATCGCAATGCGAATACGTAAATCGCAATGCGAATACGTAAATCGCAATGCGAATACGTAAATCGCAATGCGAATACGTAAATCGCAATGCGAATACGTAAATCGCAATGCGAATCTGACTATCGCAATGCGATTTACATAGCGCCATTCGTATCCAACGCGTATTTTTTTTTTCAAATTCCAAACACGAATATATTAATATATCGGAACACTGAACCGTCCACAGTATATCCCGTAATCGTAACTCATAACCTAAAACCCTAAATCACAACTCAGTCTCATCTCCATCTCTCACTCTTTAAGGCGAAATCCGTCCCCATCTCCGACGAAATCAGTCCCCATCTCCGACGATACCAGTCTCCATCTCCGGCGAAATCATTCACGGTCAGAAATGGAAAATCAACCAAATCAACCACCGAGGGTTAGTTTTTTTAATTATTTTTATTTTGAAATTTTTGCATTATTATTAATTTTTTCATATTGAAATTGATGATAAGTTTACTGGTGTTTTCAATAATAGATTAACCATTTCACTTAGATTGCTTATTATATTCATTAGATTGCTGCCAATACTGCTAAACTGTTTAGTCTTTAACCCTGTAAAGTTAGTATTTGTCTTTGTTTTGTCTTTTGGTTGAAGTAATGCAATCCATTCAAGTTTCTTTCAATTTTAGTATTTGAAACCGAGAATGACTATCGCAATGTGATTTTGTCGTTGCGATTTTCATTTCGCGTTGCGATATTCAAATTCGCGTTGCGATAGTCATTTTCGTGTTGCGATTTTAAGTTTCAGAAACTATTCTTCTTCTGCAAATTGAAACTTGAATGAATTGCATTACTTCAACAAAAAAACAAAGACAAATACTAAATTCACAGTGTTGCAAATTTAAGTTTGAAGAATAAACTACTACTCTTTATGTTTATTGTTCTTGTTTTATCTTCACAATGTAGTTTTTGGTATATCTAACTTGGTATGTTTATTGTTTTTGCAGAACTTTTATTCGGCTCAATTGACCTTAAGAAATAAATTAAGATTGGCCAAAACAATTGCGTCGAAGCTTTCATCTGCACAAAGAAAAATATTTGAGGATACTTGCTTCGGGCCATGGCTGAAAGTACAACATCCGGGTGGAGATGCTATGTTGACCCATCTGTTTCTTCAAACCATGACTAGCGATCTACCAGAGACTATACAACGTCGTGATGAAGAGATATGGTTTTATTTTCCACCGGCGTATACGTGTTTTGGGCGGGAGGAGTTTTGTTTAATCACTGGTCTACGCTTCGGACACGATGATGTAGATCGATACACTAGACATATTACCCGCCTATCATGGTTTTCCCGAGTTTTTCCTGAGCTGTCGAATTTACACGTGGAAGACTTGATGAGATTATTGAATAAGAAAGATGATTTTACTCGGATGGATGACGTCGATGTTGTCCGAATATGCCTTCTAATACTTTTGCAAGCCGGCTTTTTAGGCAGAGAGGCCCGACAACCTATTTCTAATGATATAATTAAATTGGTAGAGGACCTAAATGCATGGAACCTGTTTCTGTGGGGTTCGTATCTATGGAGAGCTACATAGAATAAGTTGTCGTCTGCCTTTGATGATCGAAAAAGTTTGCGTGGCGATGGTTCTAAATACACTTTGTCAGGCTTTATTTGGGCCTTTAAGGTAATAATTTTGATATAATGTTTCCAAAATTATAATTAATTCTTTAACAATTACTAATGTTTGTTATTATATTATTTGTAGATTTGGATATTTGAGGCCTTTCCCGCCATGCAGACATATGCATTAAAAACTTCTAATGATATTCCTAGGGCTATTTCCTGGAAGAGGAAACGGTCCTTGCAGCAATGGGAAGATTTACTACCGTATACTATAATAAATAATGTAAGTTAACACAAATACTACCATATGTTTATAAACAAGTTATTACTAGTACACGTTTAACTTTGTTTGAGCTTTTATATTGTTAGGAGGCCAACACTCCATTACAGAGGATGACACCACGGAAGCTGAGCTTGCCACTGATTGGTGGCTAGCTAGTAAGCTTTTTTTTGATGGCACGGATTATGAGCAGCCACCACTTCGAGAGCCATCACTTCACCCAGATCCATCACCTGATTGACCCGAATATACACCTCCACAACGAGAGTCATCACCTATTCTGTCACATCATCGAGCCTCTTCTCCACTATCACCTCATGATAGGCGACCGGCAAAGATGCCACGACGTTTATCTCCCTGTTCTCCACCTCCACCTCCATGGGATGAGTTAGGGGAGTTACGTAATGAGGTCAATACCTTGCGTGAGGAGGTCGATACTTTACGCGATGATAATAGTGCATGGCATGTTGAGGTGTCTACTTTACGTGGTGAGGTAGCAACTCTACGTGAGATTGTAGCATCGTTACAGAACGAGGTTCATACTCTACTCAACGAGGTAAGTTTAATATTTTTCATATTTAACTTGATGATAAATTTACTCGTAATTTCACTTAGATTGCTTAGTAAATTCATTCGGTTGCTGCAAATACTGTTTATTCTTTAATCCTGTGAAGTTAGTATTTGTTTTTGGTTGTCTTTTGGTTGAAGTAATGTAATCCATTAAAATTTCAATTTGCAGAAGAATAATAGTTTACTATCGCAATGCGAAAATGACTATCGCAACGAGAGAATCACAATGCGAAATGAAAATCGCAACAACAAAATCGCAACGCGAAAATGACTATCGCAATGCGAAAATGACTATCGCAATTCAAATTTGACTATCGCAACGAAAGAATCGCAATGCGAAATGAAAATCGCGTTACGATTCTCTCGTTGCGATAGTCAAATTCGCATTGCGATAGTAATTTTTGCATTGCGATAGTCATTTTCGCGTTGCAATAGTCATTTTCGCGTTGCGATTTTAAGTTTCAAATTCTATTCTTCTTCTGCAAATTAAAACTTGAATGAATTGCATTACTTCAACTAAAAGACAAATACTAACTTCACAGTGTTGAAAATTTAAGTTTCAAGAATAAACTACTACTCTTTATGTTATCATTGAACCTGCACTAAACCTATATGTTGTCCTTTTAAATGTTTATATAAGTGCTTACTTCTGGAATGTTATCTGATGCATTTTGTGAACAATGATATAATAATGACTTGGGTGAATACCGTGCAAGTTTGAAATATATTTGTCTTTGTTTTCACTGTTTAATATCATGTCTGTTTATTTACTGATTTATGTATTAATTTATTTTTAGCGGCCCGCTAAGGTGGATGCTCTACATCAGGTTTTTCTTACAAGACGGAGTTTACGCATCAGACGGCGTGCACGTGCCATTACGTCTCCGTTCACCCTAATAGTGCGAAGAATCCGTAAGAAAAAGCCCGACTCACCTGTCATCTTTCAAGAGGCCTCCCCTATCGTTCAAGAGGCCCCTATCATCCCTCAAGAGTCCCCTCCCACCGTTCAAGAGGCCATTGTCATCGTTGAAGAGGTCCCTCCCAACATTCTAGAGCCCGATTCACACAGCGTAATATATGGAATTATTGAGAAGCCCCCTTACGTGCCGGACATGATGGATGACTGTTGGCTTTCGTATAAGTTACCGGCCAGTACCATTTCGGCAGATGAAGTGGAGAGGAAACAACTATCGGAAACAATTCTGGATAATACCCTTTGGGCTAAGACCTCAGTTGTTTTTTATCTACATGAGCGGAGCCAAGGGTGTTACGCTGACATATACAAACTCAACGATGATATGCATTTGTTGATTGAAACGATCTTGGTGGGGTGTATTATTAGGGGTTGAAGACAACGTCTATTTCGATGGGGGGTAAGTCTTATATTTCTTCTTATATTTCAGTTTGATTATTTTTTTTTAAAATTTATGTAATTCACTAATATATGTCTTTTTTTGTAAAACAACATATTGATGAATGGGTGACACGTCTTCTAATTGTAAGGAAATTTAAGAAAAATATAAAAAAACGCGATATACAATTATGCCAACGTCTTTTCACGTAGTTCACTTGAAGAATCAACGACAGGAATCATATGTGTTGGCTAATGGACAAGCTAAACTTTATCCTACATGGTGAGAGGTCGATAAGGTTAGTATATTTGTTTAAATATTTTAAAGGTGTTCATAAATAAGTGCGCAATTTGAATTATTACATTTCGATGCAGGTGTTTATCCTTGTTTTAGAACGTACTCATTGGCTTCTTGTCGAGCTTCAGCTCCTATCCCTAAAGACAATAGTATATGACAGCATGATAAATTACATATCATTGTCTGATTTGAGAGATATTATTAAGGGATGGAGCTCTCATTTGGCTAAATTCTTGGATGCAATTAATTATTGGACTAATTCTGGAAACAAGAAGCCAAAGAAGTTCAATGTTACAGTTATCAGAGTCGAGACCCGCGCAACAACAAACGAAGGAAGCCAGAGGGGATT